CTTCCTGCTGCCAGGTGAATTGTGCGTGCTCGGGGAGGACTCTGCTCTCCAGCGGTAGCGGAGGCGATAGGCCTCTTAATGCCGTCGAGGGGGAGGAAAGCCTTAGGAAAGAACCAGCTTTCAGAAATGCCTGTTATAATGTACGCTATAACATTTAGCAGCACTACACAACTTACCAAAGGAGTGTTTGACAGATTTGAGTCCAAAATTTTTTTAAAAAGTGTAATAAATTGTCCAGATCTCTTAACTTTAAGATAACACAAAGGACGTCTTAATGAAAATGGATTAGGTATCCCAGCTAGCTGTTGTTTGGCCTTTGTTAGCAGTTCCATTTCAAATTACATCATTAGTCGTGTGCTGATTGGCAAGCAGTTAGTAGTTTGAGTACCAGCGTGCAGCTGTCATTCACGATGCGGGCAGGGACGATCCCGCCACGGAGCCTATCCAAGCAGCATACGCTGCGGAGCAGGGGCCATGCACTGAGTTTCAATGTTGTTTAAATGTTCTATGCTTTGTCCTGTTGTTCACATGAAGAACATCAGTCTTCCCCGAAGTACAAGTGGTTTTTCCACATGTTACATGTGGTAACATGTTACTGGCAGGCCATGGGTCAAGCCTGCCACGCTTTGTGTCCTGATCTTTGCTTCGTGTTTGTGTTTGCTATCCCACTTTTGCTCATGTAAAACTGGCATCTGGCTGATCTGAGGGTTATGTGACCATTTGTCTTTGGGGTAAGTAGCCCAGGGAGGGAAGGACAGAGGAATGGACGGAGAGAGGAGTTTGGGGGATCTTGTGCTCCTAAAAAGTCTAGAATTGCAATCAGAGGGAGAAGAAGCAACCTGAAAAGTCCCTGTGTATTTCATTGTGAGAAAACAAACTAAACCTTCAACAGCTTGCTTGTTTTTTCTACTTGTAAAGAAAAAATGTTTTAGGCAAGAAGAAGTAAAAGACGCATTTGGAAGCTGAAGGAAACTGTTAAAGAGAAAAAACCCAGAAGCTAGTACATGTATTCACTAGAAAATAAGTAACAGGAGAGGCAACAGAAATGCAGTAAGATCAGAGATATAACAGGAAGTGCGACTACCCTATGTGAAAACGATAAAGATATTAAAGAAGAAGCTAGAGAAAGGGAAACAAAGTAAACACATTGTTTTAAAAATGTTACTGGTCATTGCATTTAAGTAAGCATAATGGTTGAGTTACTCCTGTATATAATTTTGAATGGTCCTGCTTCTTGAGATAGGTAATGAGCTGCTGATATAGATGTAGTTTTGTTTAGGATGCTAGAAGTAAGTAAGAGTGCCAGCCATCATAATTACGTTATGATAAATCCTCTGACAAGACTCTTACATTGATAAGTACATTTGCAGATTTGCTGTGCGCATAAAAAAAGGAGTAGACAAAACTGCTTAATATTTTCCTCTCAGCTTTGACATATTGAAGGGTAATAGTGGTTGTTGTCAGGGATGTGACTGCAATTCTGTCCCCTTTCTGGTCTCAGAGTCCAGTCCTTGAGGTAAGTAGTGTACTGCTCATAGGTGTCTTTGGCTGAAATGTTGTTCTGCTATCCCTAGAGCACAGGATCTGGCAACAGGGTCCTGTGTGTGCTAACTGCTTTTCAGGTCAGAGCACGTGGAAACTGCTTTCCCCGTGTCATTTAACACAACTTCTTAGAAATCCAATACATAAATTACATAAGGGGGTATAGATCAATAATCCTTACTGAATGGTGTGCGTTCATCACCGTTGTAAAAGTGGGCAGACTAGCAGGGATGCTACGAGTGTTGGAGGCCATTTCTATCATTCTTTATGTAGAACAAATGTACTGGGTTAGACAGAAGGGTCTGGTCCAGACCATTCGTCATGTCTCTGAAAAGCCCACAGCTGATGGTTAGAAAGAGGTTTTCCTCCTGCAGAATGTTCTCTGCAAGCTTCTGTCAGTCTGCTGCCTTGAAGACAGGTTAAATTGTATTTTCAATGTTGAATGGTTCTCATGGTTTTAGCAGAGCTACACAAAAAGTAAAAATATCATTGCTACGTTTTGTGTCCTGACATGTGTTTTGCATTTTTCTCATTTGTGAGCGCTGGAAAATTTTCCAAATTATTGTGATGTCTGAAAGCAAAGGTGATAAATTTCAGTGCTCTAAATGGGAGATGGTGGATGTTGTGGCAGACTGAAAAATGAGGACCTTTGAGACCTGGTGGTTTTCAGCATGAATCTTAGGGCACTAGTTTTGCACGAGTGCAGTGGTAGGATGAGAATAACTTTTGAACTACTTAGCTGGACAGAGGTCGGTGCTCTAGAATTCACACTGTATTATTTGCCCTTCCTGGCCAACAGTTTTCAATGTTGAAGAATGTGTCTTGGACATTGCATGCTCAGTTGGCAGCTAGGGAATTGCAGCGGAAAATGGGAGACAACAAACATCATCTTTATGGAGGTCACAGCACCTGTAGTTGTCCGAAAAACAGTTGATGCATCATTTTACCTAAATGCAGTGTTTTTAGGAGAAGTACTTAAAAATGAAATCATAAGAGAAGGAAGAAAAGGACCTCTCAGAAGCCAAACTGAAAAAATATTGCACTGAGAAAATAAAAATAGGCATGAACACTGCCATCCCAGCTAAAAATTATTAATTCTGTTTTTTTAATTGGAGGTATTCTGTTCTTTTCCTTCTCTCACTCATTTCGCATACATCCTTAGGATCCCAAATCTGTTTTGAACTGCTTGTCTGCATGCACAGGCTTTCAACATAACCCTGAAGACGTTTCACTTCTGTCAGTTACAGTGAGAGCCCTTCCATTGGCATTGCTGGAAGGCAAAAGTTAGTTGGAAAAGCCATCAGTACCTGTCCCAGTAGTATTGATGTCGCAGGTGGACATGCTGAAACATCAAAACCAGGCTCACTTCTGTTATTGAAGCTTTGTGGGAACAAAAAAGGTGGAATACTGGTATGTGACTGAAAAACTTAATACAAAGTTTGCTTGGAAGTATTAACTAGTATGTTTTTAGCGTCTTAGCTGGGAATGAGGGCCTCTCTCTTATTCCCTGGCAATTCACTCAAGTGGCTGTGTAGAAAGTGTGATCACAAACCATGCAGATGTGACTCTCATTGAAGTTGCATGTGGCTACTTTAGGACTGAGTTTGATCCTATTGCTAGTTACGTGGGTGTTTTTGGTTTTTTGTTCTTCCCGAGGCTACAAGCACAAACCTCACAGGATTGTTCAGAGGATCTCATTGTATGAGATTTTTGTGTTATATATCCTCTTTGGTTAAGTGTTCTGAAGTTATGTGAATGGTATCCTCAAAAGGAAGCATTTGCTTACGTTTGAAATTTCCAGCACCTGAGTTCAGGCCCTCAGGTGTCTTATCTCTCCAGCAACAGCTGAGACAATGGCACTTTATTTTTGCAAGATAAATATTCAGCCTGAGGAGTCTCAGGTTTCGGTAGGTAGGCAGTGATGTTTGCTGTTAAGTTTTTGTTGGTTTTTTTTAAAGTTATGCAAGCTTAAATTTTGCAGTGGGGCTTTCACAGATACTTGGTGTCAGCCCCAGTGCTTCCCTGGGTGCCTTGCCAATTAGAAGTTGGAAATTCAGCGAAAGTTGTAGCTTAAAAGTATACATTTCTCTTAATGGCTGGGGACTTAAATCTTTATTGTAATTGGTTTGCTTATATTGCATCTTAACTTTTAACCATAAAAAAAAATTTATTAGGATTACCGTTTCTAAACAAGCTAAGAAGTGCTAAGAGCACTCCAGCAAACTTACAAACTGCAAGGTAGGGCAGACACCGTGTGTTTGTAATACTGTGCAGTATCCTCACCCTCACTCTGCTTGGATTCAGTCACTGCCTGTGATTTCTTTGCGCATTAAATCTGCGGCCTCAATTGTGTGGGTAACTCTTCCTGCGCTCCTGGGGAAGTCCTATCTTTTAAGGCTTACCTGCAGGGATGCAGCTACAGGTAGTAGGCATTGCTGCAAGGAAACCCTTTTTACTATTTATGTGGATAGTGCTTAGCATGATGGAAATAAAAAAATCTTCCAGAACCTATGGTTGATACTTTGCTGGCAATATAAGTGACAAGATAAAAAGAGACATTAATATATTCAAATATTTTGTCAGGTTAAGCTTAGTGTTCTGGCTCAGTAGCTTCCAGCCTGTAATTCATGTAGGCTGGGCAGGGGAGGAGTCCTTGTTACATGTCGTGAGCTGACTTGGGATAACTAAGAATACTGTTAATGTTACAGCTTCGTTGATCTGCTGACTAGCTACCACCGAGAAGGGAGCTGTCTTCATTCTCCCTTCCTTTCCTATAATGAGCCGTCTCGCAAAGTTAAATCGAAAACCAAACTAAACTTTAAAAAATTCGGGGGTTTTGCTGGTCTGTCTCCCTGAGCAGTCAGACAGATAGTGCTATTGCCAGCACAAGGAGGGGACTGGGAACGTGTACGTGGGGGTGAAGGAGGAGTGAAGCCTTCCTTTGATAGCAGCCGGCGGTTACATTGCCTCAGCCTTAACATTGGTTAAAAAAACAGCCAAAAGGACAAAAAGAAGTGAAATCTACTGCTATGTTTTATGACACACATACATATTAGACTTTTGTCATTTTGGTTATGGAAAGTATTTTTCTAAACTGAAACAAAAATAATTAATGTGTCAATCTTTCCTCTTTCAAACAGGAATCAACAACTTTATATGGCTCATGTCTGACAACATGCACCACCAGTGGCTGCTGCTAGCTGCATGCTTTTGGGTGATATTCATGTTCATGGTTGCTAGCAAGTTTATCACATTGACTTTTAAAGACCCAGATGGTAAGTTCAGCTTTAATGTTTGATGTGAAACAGAAAATTGAATGGTGCTTCACACAAATACTTTCTCTGCGCAAAGTAGTTCTCTGCATGTTACCGCTTCTTCAGTAGGATTGAGAACAGAACAACTAAATTTCTAGAAGTGACAGTGCTGATATTCAGTTTCTGCTTTTCGTGGTAGAAGTCTGCAAAACTAACATCATGTCTTTTTTTTGGTGGTTAAGAACAGAGGGGATCATGTTTGGCAGTACTGTATTGTGAGGTCCACTTTTTCAAATACACTCAGTTTCAGTATCTTGATCTACTAGGAGCAGAAGTCATGTGCAAAACAATGGAGCACAATTACCTGTTTAAAGACAAAGGAGATTCACAAGGAATTAAAGAGTTCATGTCACATGATACTAGCTTCTGTCCTCTTGTGACTGCTTGTCCTGTGGCTGCAGTACTATGTAAAACTTGTGGAAAGTTTTATTTCATTTGCAATGCACTGAGCCTAGCCACCTCTGCCCTGCTTCTTGCATTCAGTTTTATCCTCTGCTGTTTGACTGACAAACAGCTTATAGGCTTTTGCTTAGCTTAAGTAGCCCAGATGGTATTAAGCTGATGAGGAGTTTAAGCCATTTGATGACACCACACAGCATGTTACAGTATTCTGTCTGCTGAGGAGCTACTGTTACAAAGCCATCCTACAGAGAGTTTAGGGTGAAGGTGATGACATGACTTACGGTCCTAAGAGATCTGTATTTCTGCATCTTCCTAAGATGTGCAAAAAATGGGTAACTTTTGAAGTGCTGACATCACTAGTACCATTTATTTCAATGACTTGATAGTGGATAAATATATTCGGTGTACCTTTTTAAATAGCATTCATCTATGTGGAGATTTATTCAGCAAGTCTTACAGATGAGAATTGTAGGCTAACTTAGCTTTCCTTGGTCCCAGCTGTTTTTGAGCCCTAGTACATCTGCAAATAAGCTGGTCTTATGTTAGGTAGTTAAATCTTCTAGTGTTTCATTCTATGCCAACTCTTGTTTCCCAGCTTGGGTATTCTTTGAGTGGTTCTTCCCATCACAATTTGTCAGGAGGATTAAAATGTAGTCTAAAAAAAATTTACTCGAGTATACCCTTTGCATTTACTTGCTTTTTATTATCTTCGCTTGCAAATTTTTCTCTTCTTTCCCCTTTCCCCCTTCCCCCCCGGACCCCTCCCCCGCCCAGGTCTATGCTGAATCTTCCTTCCCCTTTGAATAGTTCTCTGAGCAGAAGATTGTATAATTTCTTAAGCTCCAGTCCTGCAAAGGCATGACTGTGGTTAAGTGTATGTATGTGTTGGAGATACTAGTGTTTGTACTGGGACTAATGAAGGGAAGTAATGTGAATATACCAACAGAATTTTGGAGAAAGTCCGAACAGGATGGCCAATCCTGGAGGAACTCTCCTAGACTTAATAAAATATGGCTTTTTTTTTATTTTTTTTTTTTTTTTTTAACTTAGCAGCTAGAATGAAACCATCAGATGCTCAATGAATCAACGTTCTTTTGTTTAAGCCTTTTACTGATATCTTGGGTGCATGAGCAATAGGAACTGCTTAATGAGAAGGAACAAACTGCTGTCCATCATCCCTAGTAGCATCTGCAGGCATGCTTTTACCCAGTGATAATGAAAGATACTTTAACTGCTCTTTCACTGAGTCAGATTACTTTGATTTTACAAAAGGATACTGTGAAGTAAGTCTGTGCACAACAATATTTACTGTAGCTGATTGCTTTGATGCTTACATTGTTTTCAGTTTTAACTTGCTTTTCCATGCGTGCCCTTTGTTAAAATCCAGTGTAGGCAGAGTAGGGTACTCCCTTAAGAAAAGGACATAGGCAGTACACACATTTTCTCAACCATAAAACAGTAAGCCACTGTGGATGCAGACGAAGAAAGTTTATTCACAGAAGAAACTATATGAAGGGAAAAGTAGTCCAATGTGGATGGAAATAAATTTTCAGGGAGATATCATGTTCTTTTTGCTTTGTGGTTAGGGAAAGCTGCTTCAAATTATTTTTGATCTTTCTGCACCATGTGAAGTAAAGCTACAGCCTTGTGTTATTCTTCGGCTTTCCTGTAGCATACCAATTGCAAAAGATGCAAAGGGTTCTTCCCTTACATACTTTAATTTGGTTGCAAGCTATTAGGTGCCCTAAAATAATTAAAAAAGAACAAGAGTATCAGCTGAGTTTGTTCTTTCGTTGTGGCAGTTTCTGAGGAAGGCCATCAGTCCAGTAATAAAGGAAGAGGGGATCTTGTATTTATTGCTGGTTAGAGGTGTTTACTTAGAGCACCAAAGAAATAAAAGGTGTTCCTTAATGACGCTTTTCTTCTGGTAATGTCTAAGAGTTTTCAACATAAGAAACCTGTCTACTAATATGATGGGAGGGAGAAACCTGATAGATTCAGTTTTTATTTGGACATGCTTTAGGAAGTTTATTGAAAAATAAAAATGTCATACTGTCAAGTCCATATAGTTATACGCAATTGTCTACCGATCATGATATTAGGATTTATGATTTCTATGTCTCTTTGCACAGTTTGTTTAAAAAAGACCAAAATAAAAGATAATGGACATTTTTCTTTGATAAAACTCAACTGAAGTTGCATCCAAAATTCCCATAGAGTACGTCCTTTAAAATATGCATAGTCTGTCTCATGTCTTCCCATTTGGAAACAAATCCTAATGTTTTGTAAGCTTAATACAGAAAGTGATGTTCAGTTATGTTAGTTGTAAAGCAGAAATAGTTGCCTTCCCCCACCTTCTGTAATGCTCTTACCTCTCTTCCTTCTGCAGGCTATGGTGCCAAGCAAGAGCCATTGATACTGACAGCTGTGACAAAAGTGGAGGAGGTACATGTGCCAGACGAAAAACATTGGCCTGAAGAATTCCAGGTGCATACTGTTGAGATAAGGGTTACATGTATTAAAGAGTGGGAGAAAATGAGAGATTAAGTAAGGGCTTCCTATTGTTAAAAGGAATTGCTAGACAGGAATTATTTATTCAGACTGTTCTATTTAGATAGAGCCAACAGAATTAATTTTAGCTTCACAAAGCTAGTTTGTTACGGTAACCTGCTGTCTTGTTTCATCTGAATGATTCAACTTAATGTGTTTCCATTTCTAGGAGAAAATTGTTACAGTACTCCTTTATCAAGTCAAGGCAGTCATTTTTGCTAGGCTTTTTAATATAATGGCCCAATTTTGGGTTACTTGTATTCTGCTTTGCCATAGCCATCAGGTTCGTGGTTCCTGAGGGCAAGCCTGTGTCTTGTTTATTCTCTTAATTTTCTGCCCAGTCTCTCTGATTCTTCTTATCAGCCTCCATTTCTTTTTCATGTTTTGTGCTCTTTGTGCTTCACATCTCAGCATTTTTCCAAAGTAGAACATAAACACAATAGTATTCAATACCAGCTGATCCTTTAGATGCATAGTTCAGTGCTTTTAGCAATAAAGCAGAACAAATGTGGTACCTGCTAATTTACAGGGCAACTCTGAAAATCCCTAATGCAAATGTAAATTTGAGACTAGTTGCACAGTGGGCTAAGGCCAATCTTTTTTCCGTTGGTTACGTAAGTCATCTTATGTTTAGAGTATTTTTGTGATGCGGCATGGAAGGTAGGTTTCTGTATAAACATGACACTTCTTGTTTTCATATGTAAAAAACCTGAAATTTAAGTTATCCTCAAAATACTTGGGAAAAACACTTTGTTCAGTGGAAGGCTGGCAGATCTGTGTAGTGAGTTTTAATATCTTCCTTTACTTGTATGGAAGAGGATAACAGGGTGTCTGGATCTAAAACTATTCCCCTTTGACTTCCCAACAGCATGAAATGCAGAACAATAATATTAATCCTGGTTGCATGCAAAAGGAATTGTTTTGACAGATAAGCAATCTATCAGGCTGTTCAGATTACGTTCTGACCAGGGGATATTGGAGAAGAGTAACAAACAGAAAAAGCAGAATGATGTTTTTTTTTTCCTTATGGAGGATTGGGACAAAAAGTTAAATCATTCCTTTTTCATGTGTAGCTTGGACACTGTACCTAAAATAGAAACACAGAATGGTTTGGGTTGGAAGGGACCTTTAAAGATCATCTAGCTCACCCTCCCTGCCATGGGCAGGGACATCTTTCACTAGATCAGGTTGCTCAAAGCTCCATCCAACCTGACCTTGAACACTTCCAGTGATGGGGCATGCACAGCTTCCCTAGGCAACCTGTTCCAGTGTCTCACTACTCTTATAGTAAAGAGTATATCTAATCTATATCTAATATCTAATATTATATCTAATATATAATATCTTATATCTAATCTAAACTTGCCCTCTTCTAGTTTAAAACCATTACCCCTTGTCCTGTCACTACAGGCCCTGGTAAAGTCTTTCTCTGTCTTTCTTACAAGCGCCCTGTAAGCATTGAAAGGTCACAATAAGGTCTCCCCAGAGTCTTCTCTTCTCCAAGCTGAACAACCCTGACTCTCTCAGCCTTTCTTAAAAAAAAAACCCCCCGATCATTTTTGTGGCCCTCCTCTGGACCCGCTCCAACAGGGCCATGTCTTTTCTGTGCTGAGGGCTCCAGAGCTGGACACAGTACTCCAGGTGGGGTCTCACCAGCGTGGAGTAGAGGGACAGAATCATGTCCCTTGACTTGCTGCCATGTGGTTTTTTTATGCAGCCCAGGATATGATTGGCTTTCTGGGCTACGAGCACACATTGCCGGCACATATCCAATTTTTCATTCGTCAGTATCCCCAAGTCCTTCTCTGCAGGGCTGCTCGCAATCAGCACATCCCCTAGTCTGTATTGGTATTGGGGATTGCCAACTGTGTAAAGCAATTAGTGAAAGGGGGAAGAGTTGTCAGTAGAAATTTAAAATTTCCCATCACCTGTTAATCAGACAAGCTGTTTTTTCCTCTCTCCCCATTAATCATGAGGCAGAGGTGGTCATGGTTGCGGTCTTAGTCTCAGAAAAATGAGACGTATCAAACAGTTCATCCATTTTTGGGGAGAGGAATCCTGCCTGCTTCTCTCATTTTCCACATGCTGATGCTCATTGTGTGAATTTTTGTCCACCTAATTTTGTTGCAGCTTGGATAAATGGAAACACTGAATGCCTACAGGTGCTAGAAAACAACACAGAACTTTTATCCTAAATTCTTTTTTCCCAGCCAGATGGGTCAGCGTCCCTAAGGCCCATCTTCTCAGAGATTGAAGCTTAATTTCTGTTGAAACTCCTGCCCCAACCCCTCAGAAGCTCTCTTACTTGCTGTTGAAGCTTTGTGGGAGTACCAGTATTTGGTCAAGGCATGTTGTATCCACACAGATAAGACCCTACTGCTCTGCAGCGGACTTAAATTGTTGTGTGGAAAAGCTCTTACTACTGTCTACTACTACGTAATGACTTAAGAGTTGAACCAACACATACAGTAGCAGCACAGGAAGGAAACTGTGTGCTACTCCTTTAGTTAATACATAGCAATGTTTTAGTCGTGAATCTGGGAGTCATTAGGATGCACAGTTTGGGGATTTTTATGCTGTAGAATTTGATCTGAAAACTAAATTCTTGCACTTTTGTTTTTTTTCTTTCCCCTCTGCATTTCATAAAGCCAACTGGAAAAGCTTTTTCTGGAAATCTGATCCGCCAACCCCTCGTTCATATGGAAAGACTTGAGCTTCTCAGGAATGTCTGCAGAGACACTGCATTGAGAAATCTCTCTCACACTGCAGTTTCCAAATTCGTCTTGGACCGAATATTTGTGTGTGACAAGCACAAGATCCTGTTTTGTCAGACGCCAAAAGTGGGCAACACTCAGTGGAAAAAAGTCTTGATCGTTTTAAATGGTATCTACTCTGCTGTGGGTGTGTGGGTTTCTTTGAGGAGGAGGAAAGAACAGAATTGATCCAACTGGGACAACACAAAAATGGATTCTTTCTGCTTTTCTGTACACTGATACTTAATTTCAGCCTTTCATTCTTCACAGTTGCTTCTAGTCCTTTCAACACATCTCTTTTAAAGAAAATACACCTGTTCTTTCTGTGAAAATAAATATTGTTATTACTTGGCTCAAAAGTGATTTGAGTCACGAAAGAGTACCCATATGCATGTGGTAGGTAGATTTGTTATCTTTGAAGGCGTGGCACTAATTTATTGAATTTGAAACAAGTAAATTACAAGGTATCACAATTCCCTAAGAAACAACAATATAAAATTTCTGACTTGAGGCCACTGACTTTTAACTAGGTTTTTTTAGCCATGAAGAAAGCTAGTTAAAACTTGGCAGCTGCTGTTCGTCTGTACTGCTGAAATCTTGTGTATGTGCTATCGGTGAGCCGTCATAGGAGTTATGAAGATTCTGAGGTGCTTAAGGCAATAGTTTGGTCAACAAAGGTATATTATAAAAGACTGTAAAAGAAGGAGTAAAGGGACTAGTGTGTTTGAATAACGATCTACAAGGTGAACACTGCCTGTCTATATGTAGCCTACCATCCTCTTCTAGTAGCCTAGTATGCCAATAAAAATAACTCATTTCTTCAGGGTTTTCTATTGTACCGCTACCTGCACACATAAACTTAACTTGATCATATTTAACATAACACACCTTTATTTGACACGAGACCCTCTTGCCTGTCTGTGCACCAGGGCTATGAATTCGCTACATATAGTCAGGTCAGTTGAGGTCCTTCTGTGGTTTTGCAGGTGGCGTAGCTCACCGAGATGTGGGCAAAACCTGAACATTGTAAACCCAACTCTCTTGTTAGAAGCACCTGGTGAACAGCTGGCTCTGCACTTGTGGTTTTATGTTTTCTTTACCTTGTGTGAGCTAGTTTGCACACCCGGAAGGAAACAGTCACAAATTGGCAAAGGAACTGTGTCCCTCAGCAAAACTTTTGTAGCAAGGAGTACGTCTTTAAAAACTTTAATATTAGTTTCAACTTTGGTATGTGGATGGGAGCTGAAAATCCACGAAAGGTATGCATGCACGTAGGTATGGGCATGTGTCTTAAATACCTATGAAAGCTACACTCCAAGAAAGTACTAAATATGAAACTATGTGAGTGCATTAGAAGTATCTGCTCTTACCAGAATTTAACAGAGATAACATGCAAAGAATAGCTCAGGACAGGCAGGGATGTATTGTCTGTGTTGAGTGGAGGATAACTCATGTCTTACCAGCAGGGAACCTTTCACCTTGAGCTTCCTAGTTCTGGCATGTTGGATAATGATGGAAAATTGTTGCCCTACAAACACTGGTCTCTTCTGCCTTGAGCTGCCAGTGTACTAGTATCTGTTGATGAAGACTACCGCTGCAGTTGACCTAACTTTCTCCTCTTTGGGTAGTTCCAGCAGGCAGGACTGATACTTGAGGGGGAATACTTTATGTCCAAATACCTAAGAAGTATTTGGAAGATGGAGAAACGCAGCTGTGGCACTGTGGGGGAGCTAACTCTGCTACTGCTTGTACTGAATCTCTGCTCTGGATGAATGCAAGGTTTCAGTTTCTGAGGCTGTCTAATCTGACATCTGTTGTCCACATGTAATTCACTTGGAGTACCAAAAAATACAATTAGAAAACTGAAATTAATAAAATAAAACCACCATCACCCCCCCAAAAAAATTAGAAAACTGAGAAGCTAAGTGGTGTGGATTATTCACTGCGGTTCTGGAACAGGCTTTCACTTAAAGAGCTTGTTTTGTAGCACCCTGTTCTTGTTGCAGGTTGGTACTCTGAAATGATGCTGTTGTGTGAAGGCTTACTCCTGAAGTCCAGGGGCCCCACATGAGAGATTTCTCAAGGTCATAAAAACTTCCAGGATCAGGATCTTAAAATAAATGCCTCAGAATTTAGTGACATTATTTTTCTTGTCAGCTTATGTGCTTGCAAAAATGAATATCTGGAGGCTTTCTATTGTTAATTTTAGTGCTTTTTAATCTGTGTCGTATTGTATGATTGGAATTTTTGTTTCAGCACAGCATAGTCATTAAAATAACTTCATGGATCCTGACAGCAAAGTGCTTTTGTGTTGAAGCAGTTCCAAAAGCAGCCCACAGCATTTATTTTTTGTTGGTGGTAGAAACGCAGCCAAAAAGCTGGTTCCTTCTTTGGAGTTAATCTTCAGTCTTCCTCCATTTGTACGTGTGGGCAGAGGGAAAGGGAGTGGGGACACTGAGGTGGGGAGTTACAGGCTTAGACATAATTGCTGATGAAATTTGTGTAATGTGCTTTTTTTTCTGAGAGTTTTTGAGGCCATTTGGTCTTGGACCTTGATGTCACATACGCTAAAGAATTTTAACAGTTTTCAGCTTCGCAGTCAGAATCTCTCATCATTTAACAGTTTTAAACATAGTAACTGTAAATGCTAAAAATACAGAAAAGAGAAAGATAAAACAAAAAGCTGTCAGCCAAAGGCACACATGCTTGCTTGTGCTCACTTGTTTTTTTTCCCTTGAAAGATTCACTTGCTCTCTCTTTTTGATTTGTCTAGGAGCGTTTTCTTCCATAGAAGAGATCCCAGAAAATATTGTACATGATCATGAGAAGAACGGCCTTCCACGCTTGTCCTCCTTCAGTGACTCTGAAATTAAAAAACGGTAAGAGGTGGCTTCCCAGGGGTGTGGGAGGGGTTTGGAGTCAGTGGTGTTATGGACAGTCAAGAGCACAGTTGAAGTCTACGTCTGGAATTGAGGACAACGGGGTTTCTGCTCCAGCACTTGTATTATGGCACTGTTCTGCTGTCCTCACAGATGTTGCTATGACTACCTCCCTACTGGCTTTGAAGGAGAACACCAGTGTAATTGGTGATAGTTAGGTGAGCCAGCCAACTCCCTCTGGATATAGGGTTTCTTGAGAACGTGGATCCGTTCTTCCTCACTGTGAACAGCCCTGCATAGAAAGTAACAATTCACCTGGAGGATGAGCCATAGCTAGCATATTTGAAGTTGAATGCCATTATGATTTGGGTTGTTGCAGTCAGCCCACCACAGAAGTTGTGCTGGAGATGCATAACATGGGTTTGGTTGGGAATTCTGAAATAAGTTATCGGAGAGTTTAGGTGTAGAGAGAGAGATGGTGTGGATCTGTTGATCTAGTTTGCTGACCTCTAGCCCTGCCTGGTTAGGAGTAAGTCAGGAGAACCTGAAGACTGATCCAAGTGCCTCCTGAGGCTGGAAAGAGTCCATCCACTTATCTCAGTGAGGATTGGGCTCTAAATCTCCTTTCTCAGCTATTTACTGAAATAAACTTCGTTTTCAATTTACTCCTCCTACAGATAATCTCTGACTACAGAATATTACAGTTCAGTGGTATCACAACAAAATGTGAAATTCTGTTGAAAACTGTGGTCTCATGAAAATAATGTTCTTGGCCATTATTGAAAGCATGACAAAACATCAAATAAAATACCAGAATTTTTTTTTTTTTACTTCAGCAGTGATTTGTCTAACTACCTGCCAGTGAAAAATGCAGCCCTTTCTATACATTTAGCTGCACCAAGCCACTTTTTCCATGTCTTTATGTATTTTGCTTCTTGAGCTTGGCATTAATATCTTTGACTCTGAGCTTTCAGCATCTTTTCACATCTTTCGTCTCCTGTTTATATGGATTGAGATAAACTAAGCTCCTCCAGTTTGAATAAAATGTGAAAACTAGGATGAACTATTTCCACTTGTACTGTATACAAAAACTGTTAGTAAAAAGACAGAAATTGTATTTCTAATCCTATTGATTATAATATTGATAGACTATGCAAGTGGTGTAAAATTCTTATTGCTGTGTCTGTGGTCAGAGTTTATGTACATGTTGTAAGTCTTTGCTAAACACACTTTAAACACTTTGCTAAACGCTTTCCTTAATTATTTAATTTCTTAATTTTTTCTTTCCTCTGTTTAGACTGAATTTATACTTCAAGTTTTTTATTGTTAGAGATCCATTTGAAAGACTTATTTCTGCATTTAAAGACAAGTTTGTGCACAATCCTCGGTTTGAACCTTGGTACCGGCATGAAATTGCTCCTGGCATAATTCGTAAATATAGAAAGAATCGCACAGAGACCAAAGGGCTGCAGTTTGAGGATTTTGTGCGCTATCTGGGTGACCCTAACCACCGGTGGCTGGATGTTCAGTTTGGTGACCACATCATTCATTGGGTAACGTATGTGGAACTTTGCGCCCCCTGTGAAATCACGTATAGTGTGATCGGACACCATGAAACCCTGGAGGACGATGCTCCGTATATCTTGAAAGCAGCCGGCATAGACCATCTGGTATCATACCCCACGATTCCACCAGGCATAACAGTGTACAACAAAACAAAAGTAGAGCGGTATTTTTCGGGAATTAGCAAGAGAGACATAAGACGCCTCTACGCACGGTTTGAAGGCGATTTTAAACTCTTTGGTTATCGGGAGCCAACTTTCTTGCTTAACTGACACCTAGGATAAGAAGTGTCTCATGGATTAGTCTAAACCTGCGTGAATACCAGCTGCAACACTGACAGAGCTGAGAATGACCATTTTTTTTTCTAGCTTTTTGATGTTGCTCCATTTTTCAGTGAAATATTTGTCATATGAACAAGTAGGGCTTATAGTTGTTGTTTACTGACCATGTTTTCAATATGTGACATTGCAATCTGCTACGAATGAAGTCTCTGTTACCTGAAACACAGAATTCCACTTCTCCCCTCTTTCCTCCAGGAAAAAAAAGGGAGAATGAATGGGCTATGATCTTCCTCTCCCTCTCCCAGACAGAATGTCATTTTTGAAATGTTGTGAAGTATTTATAAAGATGGCAATTTCACTGTAGGTTAACTCTTGACATGTGGGTGAACTTGATGATTCGTGCTCATGAGAAAGGCACGTAGTCTCCCACAAGCTTTGAAAATGAGAGGCCAGTACAGGACTAAAAATTGACATGCTTGACAACTAAAATCATCTAGGTTCTGTCATGTGGCTGCTATAATAACAGTAATGCTGATCTAATCCCATTTTTATTTGTCACAAAATGAACCTAATTAGGCAGAAGCTTTAGAGGTGTTAAAAAAGGGACTGGTTCCAGAGCCCAGTTGTCTTTGTATTTTTGTCAAGTGTTTACTGTGCTTACTACTGGTCTGTTGAGCCTCATAATTCTACTTTTGATTTTCAAAATATTATTTAACTCCTGGCTATGTAAGTTATCTGAGAACACCAGATGCAAATTGAATATAGAAGAAATATGAAACTGCTAGGGAAACTTTAAGGAAAACTAATTTAAAATAAAGTATTAATTGTGTTTGCGGGAACACATGTAGAAGTCACGAGACGCTCTCTAAGTATCACACAATTTAACTTGTTTTGTCTTCTAACAGTTACGATTAATAAAGAAGCCACAAAAGCACGATGTCATATAAAAGAGCTGCTAGAGTTGGATTAACGATTTGCCTTTTTCTTATATCCAGCCTTGCTCAATGTTCAATACCTTAGAGAACAGAAAATTTACCCCCCTCTGAAAATTCATCTCCCTACTGCTAAAGGAGACAGGATGAATCCCTGATTTTTCTAGTGATTCACTGCCATGGTGTCCCAACTCAAAAATGCCCAACATTTGTGTTAGCAATGGGGTGAATTGGCAACGTGCCAGGAGTTTGAATGTCACTTAAATTTGTGTACCCATTTATGCATTAAAAAAAGAAAACCAGAACTGAATGGATGCAGCCATCATATTTGCCTGTGCTTGCATTGTGTCTCATAAAGAGAAGTTTCTTGTTTGAGTTCACCAGCAATAAAAATCAGTACGCTCCCACCTCATCCCGCAGCCCATGGGAGAGAGAGAGACCACATATCTGAAATACAGGAATTGCTCTGTCACGGTGAGCATGTGAACTGTATTATTTGAATCTTAGTCCTGAAAGATTAATTTTCAGATCAGCATAATGTTGCTGGTTAGAAATGCTAACGATGGCCAGTGCTATGGAATCTGCTCTTAAATCCAGCTACAGTATGTTTCTGATAGCTTCTTCTATAAATACAAGGAAGCATCTTGCACTTGTGAAAAAGGAAAGCTGTGCCAAGCTGACATGTGCTACTACACACAAAAGGGAAGCCCTGTTGTAGCTGGAAATGATTTCAGAAAGATCTCGACAGACTAACTGAAATAAAGGAGAATCAGTAACGGGGCATTGTTAGCAAGAGAATAGTCCAAGGTGGCAAAGCTGGAAGGTGGGATTTTTTCAATTTTTTTTTTTTTTTTTTAAAAACCAACAATTACGGTGCCCTAACTTCTTAGTTCTTAACCAATGATAAAAAGATGTTAACAGCTCCAGCTTTTTCTGTGGTTTTCTTAATATGGGAACTTAGCAAAATGTACTGTTAAACGCATTTTGGAGCTAATGAGCTGATTGATTACCTCTCTGCCAATTTAAAATGTAACAGTGAATAATGTATAGTGAATTCAGGCCTTAAAGTTTAATTCTAATAAAGATAAAGTAGAATTGTTTTCCTCTGAAAGCATAAGCTACTGATCACACAGAATGCCAATGTATGTTTTTATTTTTCTTGGTAAATTACTTACTGTATTGATTTCTTAAAAGTTGCCAGGTGGAAAGTGCTTACATAAATATTAAGTAATAATATTTTTTTCTAATAGCTTTCTCTGCGTTGAGTTCTCTCGGGCATCTGACAGCAAACGTGGACAGAGCTATGGACTGACACAGGCAGAGGTGTGTACTGCTCTCCCAGCTCCGTGCTCCCACGCTTTTCAGGCTGGGACTGGAACACTCGTTACTATTTCTTCAATTCAAACACAAAGTTTCTCTTTTCAATAATACCCTCCTGAGCTATATTTTCTTTCTAGAGGTGTGGCTTTGTTCGTGACATGGCTGCAGTAATGCTGGCACGATTTTGGCATGACTTGCAGAAACTCTGATAACATGAAAGCCCATGGTGAGGTACAGTAGGGTTCTCCTTACCTCCGTCCAGTGCAGGTAGGGTGGCCAGAGTATTCTGTGTCAGGGAGGAGGCTCTTGCCCTGCTAGTTCTGATGAATTAAATGCTTGTGTTTTGTTTTAGTTTAATTGTACTCTATACAAGGCTTTTACAAATTTAGTCCCGGTGGCATGCGTGAATGTCCTTCGGCTGTTTGGATGCCATTTGCAAACCGCTTTCAAACTGCAGGTGATATTTATGTCATATTTTGGGAACTGCTGGCCCAGATTGTTACTTCTCTTTTCTTATTGTTGTTACAGCTTCATAACACTCGCATCTTTACATTGTGCATCTCTCTTTCTTTTTGTTGTCTCTCCTCAGCAGCTTTTGAATCCTCTGGCCCATTTTAACCACATTTTACAGAGGAACGTTGAGCTCTTAGGGATAGCGAGTTGCAGTAATCTCCTTGAAAATAGGAGAGGAAACGTTCTTTGTACATCAGAGAGTCTGTGCTGTATGTTAGTTTCCCGTCTGTACTTTGCCTAAAGCTGAGTTTTACTGCTTCTGCTCATTGTGGAGCTCCTTGTTTCTCATGGACTCCCTTCCCTAGTGCTCAGAGTCTGGCTTCTGATCTCAGCTAACAAAGACAAAAATTATGAATTAAAATGTATTCCATTGGTCTGTTATCTTCACGTTCCTTATAAAATTAAGGACACTTCTAGAGATCAGCTGTCTGGGGTTTTTTAGAGGTCTTGAGTTTGTTGTTTTTTTTTTTCTTCCTTGTGGTGAAAATGGATCCAGAATTCACTTGCTTGTGAACCAACTTTAAGGGCGATGCCTGTCCCCTTTTCTTCTAACTTCAGCACACAGAGCATTATCACTGGTGTGCTTTCTGATGACGTGCCATGAAGATGTTTTTCTGTAGTTAAAATATATGTGCAGTTTTTTATTTTGGGAACTGTTCCTTAAAAGAAGTAGCAATTCAAAAGTGGCCTGAAAATACATATTTTTCACAGATAAGCATGTTGTTTTTCTATTTGTGCTTAGAAGCTGCCCTGTTTGTATGGAGCGTAGCAGCCCCCTGCTGCTACTACTTGTCTCTGTCCTCAGATCAAGGAAGCCATCAGACAGCTCTGGCTTTTGTGTAACATTACTTTTTCCTTGAGGTGTTAATAACTTTGTTGGCTGGGAAAGCCACCTTTGATCTTCTCTGTGCTCCAGAAAGTTTGCTGAGAAAAGAGTGATTATATAGGGATTGTTTGAACTTATGTTCTCAGATGAAAAGGATGTCTCGTCAGTGTATCTGCCTGTATCTGATATCCCTTAATTGACAGAGAGAGGGTGAATGATCTTTCTGCTTAATGGCCTTATCGTGATTTACACTAAGCCCCCATCCTATTATTACGGCAATGTGAAGGAGTTGTAAATTCAACGTGTGCTTATTTTAACTGTGAGGGTGTAAAGGAAACTTGACACAGGAGTTGGGCCGTGAAGATTTATCATGGCTAATTGCTTGTTACGTGTCATCTGCAGAGGCTGGTGCGGTTTCTTTGTGGACTGCGCTTGAGAAGATTTATGCAAGGTAGAAAGAGGGCTTGCGGGTTGTGGAAAATTCCCTTTCAGCCTAAGTTAGCTGTGCGTGTTCCTGGGCCACTGCCGTGGGGAAGGTTTTAGAAATGATCCTATTAGCAGCAAAGCCTGCAGTGCTCGGGCTGGCGAGCGCAGAGTGCCTCCCTCCTGGAGGAGGAGTGAGTTCAGCTCGCGCTGATGTGTGCAGCTGACTTTGGTGCTACCTTGTATAAATCTCTATTTTTGTGCTTTTAATGCAGTTGTGTGCAGCTGAGCTGTCGTCTTGCTTTCCTGCATGTGGCAGTAGCCTGAGGTGCTCATCTCGTCACCACCAGAGCAGCTTTGAAAGGCCTGCAGCCTGTTTTGCTATGCGGTAGGAGACGTCTCCCTTATGAAGCAAGCAGCATTAGGCCTGCGGCCATGCAGCTGGTGGCGACAGGCTGGTGTAAGCACAGAAATGGTGCTGTTCGGGGCTAGCTGCTGTAAAATCATTGGTTTTCCCTTTTCATCTAGGCAGGAGTGAAAGGGAAAAAAGATGTGTGTTTGCTTTGAGTCATAAAAAGGAACCGCACTGATAGAAATTCCAGACTGGTAAACCCAGACAAGGCAATGTCTGGGAGAGCAACGCTGAAAGAAGCCGTGAGCAGTCGCTTTAAAGCCCCTGGAGATACTGGACTCCACGTTGAAGGAAAGTTGCTGAAGCTTTATGGGAGGTGTTAGAGGAGCAAGCGTGCTCCTCCATATGGTGTATTGTACATGCCAGAGGAGCAGCTGCCGATGGGACAGCATGCACATGGCAGGCTGAAAGCATGAGGCATGTGCTGTGTGTGTCTGAAATCACAGAAAGGGAAAAAAAAAAAGTGGAAAGGAAGTAACGAAAAAATAATCCTGAAGGTTGCACACCTGGAAATGCAGTACCCACCTTAACTGCCACAAATACATTGACTGCCCTGGATGTGTACAAGTCACTTCTGAGCAGTTTGTGGGTCAAAAGCAAATCTGCAAATAGAAGAGTAAGCATGCACTATAGGGCATCTGTACGTGCTGTGGAAAGTGATTTAATACTGAGAACATAGCCAAGGCTTTCAATCGTGCCTAAGTAAATGGATCTCATCTAGGAAAAATGTATAGCTATACTCTTGTGGAGTAACTAGCTCTTTCAACATACACATGTTATGCACCTACTGTGATTTAAGAAGTAGGAACATTTAGTCTTGTAGATCTTTTTTTCCTCCTGTCTACAGCCTTTCTGTTTTATTCAGTTTTCTTTCCCATGTCTTGAGAGGTCTTTGGATGATACACCACAGCATGACCCGTCATTCTCTTGTCAGAAGGGCGGAAGAGGGTGTAGGAAATACAAAATATTCTCCATAATTTTGAGGAACACAAAGACAAAATTCAGGGAGTTGTTATCAATCACGAATGACTTGTGGTGGCTGTGAAATACCAAGATTGCATGAGCTACTTCTTAGATGTTTCATGTGTTGGTGAGGAATTTACTTATGGAAAAATTACCGCTGTTCTGTTCTGTGTTTGACATCTTTGTTCTTATGTTTTGAATGGCTTCCAGTACGGTGTTATAGCAAGTAAAATTTGAAATCTGCCATACTGCAAAGCTTCACTTTGAATCCACCTATTTTACTCTCATTCTACTTTAAGTGTTTAGTAGAGTTAGAGTCGACTCTTTGCACTTTCTCAGTTTCCTCAGTTCCTGACTGTTCTTTGCAATGCTGTGCTGTTTGTACTTGTGAAAAGGCAGCGAGCAAGAAGACTCAGCAAAGACTCTGGAGAGAACAGGACTCCAAAGTGGACCTTTATTCATATGCCTCTGTCCACTTCACAAGCTTCTTTCATCTGCCAGCATCAGCTTTTAGGACTTGGGTGCTTGGCCTTTTGGCTAAGGTCAAGTGTAGTGT